ATATATATATATATATATATATATATATATATATATATATATATATATATATATATATATATATATATATATATATATATATATATATATATATATATAAGGTTAATCCGCTGAGTACACGAAAGACAAAAAAAGAAAAAAAATAGAACTAGTTAACTAGCAACATCATGGTAATAGTAACGGTAAGCTTCTAAAAAGATTGTTGATTTAATGGTTTTTAGTTGTAGCCCGTGTTCAGTTCAACTTTTACTTCCAAATTCCAATCCCCAGACCAGACTCTCATGACTCCAGAATTTAGTTAAAATTAGAGCAGCATCCAGACTCCAAACTCCAATAGCTAGACTGCAGCTCCAGACTCCTAAATTCCAGTTAGCACACTCTAGATTCCAGTTAAAATCAAAAGGTAAAGAACAAATGCCTTAAATACGATTCCAAAATGAATTATGTATAATTTTGTGTTACTTTATAATTTAGAGTACAAAACACCTTATAATCCTGTGGCAAATGAAATACGATATTTGAGTGAGGGTGATGTTGCAATCCACCAAATCACTTAGTCCCTGACCAACTACCTCTTACAGCACAACTTTTTTTGCGGAATTGATGAATCCCAAAAGAAACACCCTAAATCCTGGCAAAATTCTTCATGCAAACCTGGAATTGTTAGTTTGATCCCCTCAGAGACATAATCCTGGACCAAATCCTTCAACTAAACATGGACTGTTAGTTTAATCCTGTCCTCAAAGCATCTTGATCACATGATCAGTATCTCCCTAGTATGTTGGGAACATACAATAAGCAAGAGGTGAACGGTAAAGCATTCCTTGAGTGTATACTGAACTGCATATCTGCCTTAGAGGTTTCAGCATGAATCATGCCAACAACAAGCTCTGGCTTATGGTCAATTAGTAGCATTCATACCCAAAGAACTTTAAACATTCCAAGCAACACGTCTGACATCTGATTCTCACAATTATATCCAATTTGTCTAAAAGCAGCATGCACTGACTACTTTTATTCATTGTTTAATGCCGCAATTGTCTTTTTTTCCTTGACTTGTTGACTTCCACTAGTTATTTTCATTTAGTGTCTGCATTGAAGGAAAGTTTTCTATGTGAATTGTGATGTGCATTATCTGACCAAAGGTCACCCCATGAAATGTATTGCTAGACTATTGCATCAAATTAGAATCGCACCAAGTTCCTAGTGAATTGGATCCACCAACAGGTATGACATAAGGTTTTCTCCCTTCACGCGACAATTTTTCTTTCAATATGTTAGTAAGAACCTGAAACCAAATTATAATCACCATTACAACATGGAAAACTCTATCAAAACATTAAGCTCCATATTTTAAAAAGAATGTTTAAATGAATTTGATTATGTCCTTTTCATTTTTCATATACACGCTCTATTTAATTAAGGGGAATTTACCTATTTAGTACTAAAACATAGTGAGTTTCCCAATGTAGTACTCTAACTAGTATCTAATTAGTACCATTGTTCAATGTCCACCACCACCATTGTTCAATGTCCACCGCCACCACTGTTCAATGTCCGCCGCCACAACTGTTCAATGTCCACCACCAACCACTATTCAATGTTCACTGTCCGCCGCCACCATTGTTCAATGTCCACCGCCACTGGACATTGTTCTTGAATTAAGTACTATTTAGGGAATAAAAAGTTTTAGGGTATCACATTGGGAAAAGACATATGTTTTAGTACTATTTAGTGCAAATTTCACTTCAATTAACAAGGCCGCCATATCATAGGTTCATAAGTCCCATTAAAGATGATGTAAAACAACCCCCGTAATTGAAAGAGAAAGAAGTGGAGAATAGGTCTAAGTTATCTAGTCACACATGAATGTAAAGGCAAATAGGTGATCAATCATTTTTGCCTTTTTGGAGAAGTTTAAGGACTATTTATGACTCTATGCCTATAATGGTTTTCTGGATACAAGGGGAATATTCATGCATTAATTTTGTTCAAAGTGTTTCTAGGCAGATTCAAAATTAAATGTCGTCTTAGACTGCATGACCATGTTTGGTTCACAAGATGTATTCGTTTCCTTGATGAAATTGAATGAAGTGAGAAACCAAAGCATTACTGTGGATTTTATCGTTAGGATTTAGCTGTAAACTTCTCAAAACTGGTTTGTTTTCCTTTACTTTGCTGCTTTCCCCCCTACATAACTACGTAGACACGAAGTTCCCTAGATGAAGGAAATGGTAGCTTTCTTGACTCGTGTATTTGGCTTCCCATATATAGGGATTTGTAAAAGAGTAATTATACTGAATGAAATCTTATCATTTCACTATATACTACAAACTTGAGACACAAGGAACATGCAACAAACAAAGAAGAAATACACACCACACTCCCAACTTTGGCATATTCTTCTTTTGAAACAAGATCGATGTGAGCTCCAACTAAACGCTCAACAAGGAGATTCCCTGTCAATCCAGGATCTTTATCCACAAGAGCCTGAAAATGTCCGGAGAAGTAAAAAAGAAAGTATGATGAGTTTCCAAAAACTACAGCTGAATTCAAGACAGAGAGAAAGTATTTATCACATGCTTTTGATGTTCGCAGTATAAGATAACTGTCGAGATTCAAATACTTGGCAGCAACAGCAGTAGCACGACAATGATTACTTTGAATGCCACCAATAGTGACAATGCAATCTGCTCCCTGGGCCACAGCATCTGCAAGCAAGAATTCCAGTTTCCTCACCTTGTTACCACTCAATTGCATTCCTGAAAGGTCATCACGCTGTAGGTACGGAGTTTTTCCTGTCAGAAATTATTAGCAAAATAGACCAGAAGCATACCTGAAGTAGGTAATAAACACATAAAGCTGAACGCATGTTTAATGATCAAGATGATAATGATCGCGATAATAAACACTCCCTCGTGATTTAAATGTCTACATTCTAAAATACATCAAATTTAAGGATTATGATACAGCGGCAAAAGTAGTCACTGTGTGTGTTTCTTGTTTCATACGGAGTATAAGTTACCAAATATTCGGAGTGGTGTTTGTTATACCGCACGAATATGTTCGAAAACTAATACTTCCACCATCCCAAAATGGATGTCATTGTCCACTATTCATGGATCAAAATTTTTCTTCTTTGTCTATTTTCGTTGCTCATTTCATAAAATAATATAGTCATCTCACATCTTGTTTTGTACTTCCTCCGTCCCATAAAGATGTTCCCGTTTTGACTTTTAGGAAATTTAAGAGGGATAATTTTGTGTTGACTTTCCAAAAATATCCTTGATGTAATGGTAAAAGTAAGATGTGATAGGTAAATTATTAGAAAAAAAGGTATGATGTCATATGTAGGTTAAGAATTAGTAGGGGTAAAAGTGTTTTTTAATAGAAAAGGGAAAGATTTTGTAGGACAAAAAAAGAAAGGTGAAGGAGTTTTTGGGATGGGGGAAGTAGATCCTTTAATATACTCCCTCTCTCCCAAAATGTAAGCAACATTACGCTAAACGAAGTAATTTTTTGAATTTTTTCAATCTATTTTATTTAAAGAATGGTTTACAAATAAAAAATAAAACTTACATATTTAAAAGCTACGTCAAAAGTTCTACAAAACAAGCGGTGACAAGAATATTTTATTTTATCAAATAATCAATGAAAATACAAAAATAAATAAAAGTTCCCGTGGTTTTTAAATAGTGGAGTGTTGCTTACATTTTGGGACGGAGGCAGTAGTTTTTAAATATATAAATTTCATGTTTAAACTTTACACTAATATTTAAATAAACTGAATTGAAAATTACATACATTCTGGGACAGAGGGGTAATTTGATTTTCCAAATATAGTACTCGTAATTAGCCTATTCTTCTCCATCATGAACACAATTAAATTTTCTATGTCTTGCACTTTTCGAACCACAAACAATAATGCCTATAATAGAGCACAGGGAAGTAGAGAACGGGACAATCAGTTTACCTTCAACCAGACCTCAGTGTCCTTGGGCAGATTGGGCAAGTTCCATTTGTGAATCGGAGTAGGAAGCTATCCACACACAGCGAAAACAGGAAATTCAATCGCATATAATATACACAATGCAGCAAATAGCGATGAATGTTAATCGGCTTACGTGTCCGAGAGAGTAGACATGGGAGGGAATGTGGGTGAGATGAGAAGCCCAAGAGGGGGGCTGGTAAGGCTTCTTCGCAAGGAATTGATAAGATTTTGATGCATCCATGGTGGATGTGGATGATTTCTTCTGTTGGAGTGGGGAGACTGGGAGGGACTAGGGAGTAGTAGTCTCTAGGGTTGATTACCCGTTTTAGTCCAGCTTAGAGATTACGGCCCTGTTTGGAACACCTTTCCATTATCTACAGACAGCATTTAGGCTTTGTTTGGTAACAGCGTTTTCGATTAGTGTTAGCGTTTTAGATAAAATTTTAACGGTACAGATTAATTCTGAAAATGCTAACGCTAAAGGCTATCGTCGGATAGCTTTTTCAAAACGCTAACGCTAATCTCTGACGCTGATGCCAAACGAGGCCTTAGTAGTGTTAGCGTTTTTAAAGTAATCTGCACCGTTAACATTTTATCCAAAATGCTAACGCTAATCTCTAACGTTATTCCCAAACAGACCCTACTTCTTGTATTAGACTATTAGTCAATACTCTTGTGAACTTAGAACTTTTGAGAGCATGGGCAATGACAGCTAAAGAAATGAAATGTCACGCGATGACGTGTCGCATTTTAACCAATCAAATATGACCTAATTAGACACTGGCAAGGGAATAGAGTGACATGCCCTATAATGGCAAGTCACTTTTTTCATCATTTTAATGTATTTTTGACATATTGTAATTATTAAAAATTATTTTACTTATCTATTTTATTACATTCTCCACCCATAAATTTTCTTTTTAGAAATCACCCTATGTAGCACTCTAAGACACAATATTACACGTATAGCACTCATTATTTTTCAAACATTTGGCTATTTATGGTATGGATCTCTTGCAATCATGCCCTTTTATTATAATGTAACATTTTAATTATTTTATTTACCATATTTATTGAGATCCATAATTTTAGGAGGCTATTCTCATTCCTTGCACGTAGCACTTAGAACCGTCATGACACTCCTCACTGCTTAAACACATTTAATAAACGAAATTGGAAGTGTATACCAAATTTTTTGGTAGTGTGGAATAGTCATGTTATGCCTACGCTTTCTGGTAGTGTTATACCCATATTTTGAGCACTGTGTTATGGTTCACAATACTTAAGTACACTTTTTGGCAGTGTGTTATGTCCATGTACTGGAAGTGTATACCAACTTAAACACATTTTTTGGCAGTGTGGAATGATCATGCTTTGGCAGTGTGGATACATGTTATATTGGATATGATGGCAGTGTGTTATGTCCATGTTCTGTAAGTGTCTACTGTTGAGGACTTGTCGTGCGGTCCAAAACAAATTAAATATTTATAAATATCCTTAACTAACCCCCAAGATATAATCAAACAAAAATTATAGCTACGGCAAGCAAAGGTCGATCCCACGGAGAAATTTTGTACTTTTGAAATCAAATTAGTATGCAAACACGTTGTCACTAAATAAAACAAACTAACTACTACACATATGATAAGACATATAAAACTTATAATACAAAAATTTATAAATATAACTTTTATGAACAAAGAACTTATAATATAACTTATGAAAACAAAAGACATATTTAAGATATACTAAAAAAAGTATAAAAACTTATATTTATAACTTATAAACAAACACTTATACTAAAACTTAAACATAACAGGGGGGTTGAATAAAAAGTAAATATAATTTTGGTTATTTATATTTTCTTTTTTTTTTTGTTTTTTTTGTTTTTGATAAAATGAGGGAAAACAAGCTCAAAAGATAATCAACTTTTCCAACTTAGGTTACCCAAGAAACACCGCCAAAAACCCAAAACAAAATTAAAAAGAGAACGAACACAAAACGAACATTACATGTATAATAGGCACTTAGACAATATATTACGTAACTTACGCACTTAAAAATAGAAAAGAATTCAAAGGCTCGAGTTGATTCATATCCTTGACCACATATAGAGGATCGTCAACTCTCTATAAGGCCCGGAGTCAAGAATTCAAAGGCCTTTTGGATCACTTTGAACCCCCACTCACCTCAAGCGTTCAAACAATGATTCCAAAAGATGAAAAAGTTTATAAAAGAGCGAATCTTTTTTCATTCTAACTCTCATTGACAACTCAAGCATAAGAATTGTAATCTATTCACATAAGAAAACATTACATATTTTCATTAAATCAAGAGTTGTTTATTGCGCTTAAACAATCCCAATTTTTATGAAAATAACAAACAAGAACACCAAGGCATAAACAATCACTCTATAACAAATCTTACGAAAAACGTTCAACTTATGGGGCTAAGAAGTTCATTTACGTTAAAATTTTACAAAACACAAGTCACAAAAAAGATTCACGTATGAATTCGAGAATCATTTAACTAAAATATGGAGCTAAATTAGCTTCAACGATAACCGAATTCGACATACCAACCTACTTATGAAATCAAATTTATAATTCAACCAATTTAACATCAATTTGCACAAAAATTGAAGAACCTAGTAAGAATCAATTTTCATTCATAAGGAATTTAATATAACATAAAAAAACCATAAAAGAACACCAACCATTTTGGAATTTTTGAAATTAACACAAACAAGGGGAAAAAAGTGTAAATTTGAATTGAAACAACACTTTTACAAAGAAATGGAGAAAAACTTGAAGAAATAACATATAGGGTTACCAATTAGAGGAAGAAGATGAAGAAATTGAGGAATTGGAGCTTGAAGGGGCCGCCTCACCCATCACCGCCAACCATAGTCGAACGCCGGTGAGCCGTGGTTGGCCGCCGTCTGCTTTCTTCTCTGGTGGCGTCAATTGCAGCGGCCAAAGCTGCTACTCTCTTTCTTGTTTGGTGTGATGCCTCCCCTTTGAACTGAGCTTCTGCCGCCAGTCCGTCGTCGCCACGGCCCACTATCGCCGGCGACTACCATTGCAGCGGCCAAGCCGCCGCTGCTTTATTCTCTTCGTTGTTCCCCCTCTTATTTTCAAACTTGAACTTCAATTTGGTCTTTTGCTACTCGGGGTATATTTTTTCTCCAAAAAATAAGATATCTGATAACTTGGGTTAGGAAAAATAAAATAAAAATAATATACTGTAAAAAAAATGATTAAAAATCTATTATTTATGAAAGAAAATAAAAAGAATGTAAAAATGAAAATTAAAATAGAACTAAGCTAAAAAACTAAAAATTAAAATCTAAAAGTATTAAAAATGCCTAAAAAGAATAAAAAGAACTAACCCAAACCCGGCTTATCATCTACCAACTTAAATACATTTTTTGGCAGTGTGGAATGCAAAGACAAATTTGGAATTGCATCCACACAAGTTCTGATATCCAATAGCAGTGCTATATTGTGTATTTTAATCATATATTAGTGCTATAACGGTACTTCTCCCTAAAGATTACTTGTTTGAAATATATAAGAAAAAGAACAAATATAACTTACATACAAGTAACAAGTTTGAACTAAATTGAACCTTGCTTGCACAAAAGAAAATGACGAAAAATGAATTCAAACAACACACTCTAAACATGAAATAGGCATTACACGATTAAATAGAAAAATAAGAGAAAATAACTAATTGTTTAATTTAGTTATTAGTGCGTCGACGTGGTCGCATATCCATGTTATTGGTGAAACGCGTGCTTATCGGGCGACCCATCTGGGAACGTTGTCCTCTTGTCGATGGCACTAGCTCATATCCAGGATGTGGCCATTCCATTTATGGTGGAAGTGGCATTAAATTTCCAGAATACACATTTATCTATGATTGAATTGAGAAGGTAGACAGAATGAATTGATCCACCACCATTCAATTGTGTGACATATTGTGTATACGTGTTCACATGGCATTTAGAGCGTAGTCCATTGCCCACAGCACCATGCGCATTGTGGAGGACCTCGTGTTGTGTAAGCTCCAATCGTACTCAACCGCATGTGGGATGTCCTTGAGTAATCCCAACTGCCTGCATAACCTATCAGGATAGTACATCTACACAATGTAGGTAAAAATCAATGGAACACAGGCTACCCAAACTTCAGATCTAGTGTGACAGTCAGCATGTAATGAGTGGATCCTTGGATAGGAGTACAACAAAAAACACAAATTATTGTATCACTACATATGTGACTATATGGGTAAGTATTTATGGTTTAATGTTCATACCTCCTTCTCTAATAACCGGTCTAGCTGATCCCTATAAGCACGAAGGGTACGCACACATGACTTTGTCCAAAAAATAATTATAATTATAATATAAACTGTTTTGACTTTCACTTTTTGCCAAAAAATAATTATAATATAAACTACTTTTGCCAAAAAATAATTATAATATAAACTGTTTTGACTTTCACTTTTTTTTATAAAAATTAGAAAAATGAGAAAATTTTGAGTAATCAAGAAAAAGGTGAGAGGTCTTATATAAAGTTATATTAATAAAACATTCTATGTAACTATTTTATCCATAATCTTTTAATATAATTTAAAATATTGTTGTTTTCTCTGTTTTATCATGTAGATTAATATACAAAAATTTTTATTCATATTAAAAAGTTAAAGAAAAATAATGAGGTCATAAAAGTAGTGAGATGAAAAAAAATAATTTATAAACTATAGTTATAAAAATAACAGTTGTAATAATAATAATAATCACATTAAAAATATATTGTTTTTAGAGTAATTGGTTGGGGAGTAGAAAAAGTTTGAAGAAAATGAGAATATTTGGAAGAAACTGGAAGAACGGGAAGAAACTGGAAGGAACTGGAAAAAACTGAAAGTTAAGAATTTAAGCCCTAAAGAACATGCTCTTAATAGCTAGTGTTTTTTACTTCTACGTGCATCATATGCATATATTTCTTAAATGATCCCATTTGCATTTTTATCTGGGTAATTTACCTAAATAGGACTAAAACATAATGACTTTCTCAATATATGACCATATGTTTTTATTTCCCAATGTAAGTCCATTGGTCATTATCTATTAGTCATTATTTAACTAAATGTCCAGCATCACTTGCACATTATTCTTCTCACTGTTCATTATTAAGTCCTATTTAGGGAATAAAAAAGTTGATGTCATACATTAGGAAATGACTTATGTTTTAGTCCTATTCAGTGCAAATTTCACTTTTTTTATATTTCAAATCAACATTACTAGGAATACACGTGTGATAACATGTTGTAACGCCTTGAAAACTGGTCTAGATATTTCAATGAATAAAA